GGCCAAGTTCATTGACGGCAGGAATGCGATTACGAAGGCAGTCCAGTTCTCCCGGTACTCAAGAAATGGTTCGTCGAAGCCAACATGCGCAGTGATATGCGCACCCGCATTTCCAGCAAGGTTGCGGACTTCGCGTGGGCAAAGCAGCGGTACGACGGCATCACTCAGCCCCTGGGCAGGTTCGTCATATACATCGAGAGCCTCATTGCAGTCGCAAACCTCACGATCAGCATCAGGCCAAAGGATACGGCTGCCATTGAGTTCCTGTCAAACCTTGATAATGAGAGCTACCTCCAGATGGCCATGATGGCGGATGCGACCGACGAACTTTCCAGGAGCGTCCACGCCTTCGACGGGGCGATGCTGGACGAGGCGGAGATACTGCTAGAGGTTTGGGTAAACCGCAAACACTTTCCTAACACTCGATAAGCACTGCCACGGGCAGCCGCAACCCAATAGTGTCACTTCTTACTCGTTCCACGGATGCGCCTTCAGCTCTACCGGGGGAGGGGCGGGGGGGGGATGTGGAGAGGAAGCCTTTTCCTCTTCTCCCGAACGCCTCCCTCGTCCCCCATATTTTGCATGGTGCGCAGGTCCAGAATTTTCAGGCCCGGCTGGAAGCGCTTTTCATCTCTGGCCACTGTCTCGAGATACCCGGTTACACGTCCTTCGCCGTCAACATGCTCAAGGAGACCCGCCTTTCTATCGTTGGCAAGACCGTGAAGGAATTCGGCGGCCTGACCGCCGTCCCGCCCGAGCTTGCACAGCGCTGCTTGCAGAGAATGGCCTCTTGGGCCGAACTATCTAACGTTATTGTCAAGTCAGAGTTCCCAGAGTTCGAGCTGTGCTCGAGCTTCGCTGTTTTCGCATTAAACGCTGGGACGAACCGACAGAGCCTAACGGAGAACTGGCGCAAGAGGGCCTTGGAGAAGTTGGCGATGGCGTTCAAGCAGCCTGCATCGAACGTGATATCGGAGTTTTTCGACATCTACCCCATCGCCTGGAACATCCATCGCACGGAAGGCGTCGCCAACAGGGAGGCGTGGAGCATGGCTGTCCGCAGGTGTTTCGGAAAGACAACCCCGTGCGCTCACGGGATATGTGTTCTCTTAGTCTTCGCATTTTGCCAGGGACGTTCATTCTCTAAATGGCCGTCAACACCGAAGCAAAAAACATCCACATGGCCCCCCAGGCCAAACGTGACAAGTATGGTAGGGCTGAAATGCATGAGCGAGGGAAGGGGATCACAGGAAAAGAGCAGGAGAAGGGGTAGGCTCTTCCTCCACCTCCTCCCTTCACTCCCTCTCCCTCCTCTGCCTCCTCCTCCTCCTTCGCCTTCCGTTCGCCCTCAGCATCCCCTCGGCTAATGTTTAGTTGTGTTTCTCCTCTATCTCCCGTTTGGCTTTCACGCCAAATTCGATATCATGTGTGGGAAGACCTGACAACATGTATCGCGTGGGCACTCTAACGTCGATCTTGACGCATGTGCAAGATAATCCGGAAGCTTTGGCTTTTTCGCATCATGACGTATCCCTCCTGGTTGGGCGCATTTGGACTGGGCTTCGGCCCTGACGTCAGTACATGTCCATCACCATCAACAGCCAGCCCAACGTGCGCATGCGTGCATGTGTTTACGTATGTGAGGGTGTGCGTGTGTGTGTGTGCGTGTGTGCGCCCGTGCGTGTGCGCGTATGCATGTGGCGCGCGCTCGTCCACAACTCTCGCTCGACTTGTGCATGGGATTTGTGGTTCCCTGGGGCGGCCGGCATGTTCGAGGAGGCCACAATGCCTGTGATCACCATAATGCATATGAGCCAGTTTCTTGTGAGAAGCGTGCAGCAGGCGAGTGCCGCCGCGCATCTGACGCGCGCAGAAAAGCAATCACGGGACGGACACGAAACACGAAATGCGATGCCCCTGTAAGTTTTTTTTGGCTATTCCGAACTGTTCCGCAACCAAATTCCAAAAAGGTGTTCATACCGGGCCTCCATGGCGGCGCGCCACCCTACGGGCGCGCTCCGGCCAGTTCTCGTCCGATACTTGGCGTGGGGTATCAGCACTTGCTCGGTCGAGAGAGACTTTGCGAAGACCGTGAAGTTGCGTGGCGGCCAGTGCGAGGACCAGTTCGTTTCTCGGGAGGAGGATGTATTGTGCTTGCAGTCGGACGACGACCCGGCAGCGCACGACAGCATCGTCAAGGCGGCTGCCCGTGTCTGGTCTTCCGTCTACGGGGATGCTCAATCGAGCCCTTTGTTTTCCGTCCGGGCTGGCAAGCCGCAGCGGCGGGGCGTTGGGCAAGGGGAGGCAGCCTTCTTGCGCATCCGGCGATCTGCCACAAATGCCACGCTGACCGCCGGCCGCCAGGGTGAGTTTGCAGTTGATGCCGGAGCCATCTGTTTCAACGAGAAGCAAGTGAAAGAGGCGGCGGTACGCATGGGCAAACTGCATAAGAGGCGGATCGACGCACTGAAGGCTGGCCATTTGCAGGACGACGAGCTAGACGAGGCTCTCATCACGGACGCAATCAAGAACATCGAGAAGGACAGGGTTGCCCAGCGCGATGCGGCAGCGGAGAAGCGGCGGAAGCTGCAGATCGTATCCAAGGCTGACTTCGAGTTCACAGGCAAAACCGTCTACTTGCAGTCGCATCGCCAGGCCCCCGACGGCATGGAGCAGGTCAATCACCCTCTCGCCGACTTTATCATCTGTGCCACCCCTGGTGCGCCTCCACCTGTGTTGCGGTTCGCGGCGTGCTTGCACGGCAGCTCCATATGCACGAGGGAGTTATTGCAGGAGATTGGGGGCGTGTGCGTGACCTACCTTCGGGCAGTCGCAGTAAGGCGGCATATCCACGTCACAGATGCGTTTATGGTTGAGGAGCCTAAGCTCGCAGAGTTGTTGCTTGCAGATGAGGTGTCAAGCCAGTGGACCTTGGCAAGTGCGGCAGACTTGATCAGCATAGTGCGTGGCCAGCCGGCCCGCAGAGACTTGCGCTTGTGTTCATGGGGGCTGGGGAGGATGATTCTCCGGACCTTAGTGGTTTGGAGAACAAGTTTACTGCTGGGTCTTGTTTTGATAGCCCTCTGTTTTGCAAGGTTGCCAAAGCGAAATGCTGCGTTGGCGCGCGCAGCCTGTAAGGCTGCAGCGGCAAGCGCCACGCGCACCAAGGGCTGATGGGGCTGCCCGCGGATGAAAAAATCAAAACCTCTGATCCCAGTCTTCTACGCAGAGCAGCTACCCGAGCTGGGCGCGTGAACCAGAATGGTACCGACGAGACGGATGAGTATTCCAGGAAGGGCCCAATAAACTTCCAAAGGGCACTTCCTAGGTGCCCCCGGAAAACGCCCACCGAATGCCCTCCAGGAGTAGACTCTGTCGGGCTTCTAGGTGGATCCGAAGCCCCCCGAGAGGCTCCCAGAGGGGCCCACGAGAGGGCCGGCAAGGCTCCTCCTAGATGCTCTTCGACAGGGCCACTGAAGGCTTTCCGGGAGGGCGGGGGCCATCTTTGGGCCTTCTAGGAGCTCTCTGGGGCCCTCCCAGCCACCACCGCACAACGTCGACGTCGTCATTCGGATCCGTACCGCCACAATCACTAAAACCCTCGACATCAACATATTGTCATTTTATTTCCCCCTCTCTGGAAAACCGCGCGCGACACGTGAGCGGTGGGGCCCCCACCGCGGCCCCGCGCCCCGCACCGCCAGACATTTTTTACATTTGCATGGCACGCTCGTTGCGCATTTGAATATTTATGGTGCGTCTTACCGTCTGTAAGCCGATGCCAGTAAGGTCATCAGAATATTGGCAATAACTGTAAGTGTTAGTTCCTTTGTTGATATTGGGCAAAAGCCCGCCACCGTGCTTCAAGGCACGACTTGGAATGTCTTGAGGTAGCCTCTGTATTTTCGCGGGTACTTGAGTATATCGTATGGTGCGGGCCGATAGCTCCGCTTTCATGTCTGCTTGGCGCTCCTGCGGTCTTTGGGGTCGGGCGCGCGCTTTTGTCCGAAGTCTAGAGGGCCCCAAGACGAACCAGGAGGCTCGAAAAAGGCCCCCAAGAATGTCCGAGAGTCTTCCCTGAACGCCCCAGAGCGCTCCAAGACACCCAAGATGGCCCCAAGACGGCCCGGGAGGCTCCCAAGACTTCCAAGCAGTTCATGAGCAACAACACAGGCCGCAATGATATCGTAACGGATTCTGGCTTCGGCGATCCGCGGCGGTAGGAGATGGCCCGCCTCAGTCCAGCGCTCGTGGCCCGAGAGATCCAGCCAATTACATATAAACCCTACTCGGTGTACTACCGGGGTCCCAGGGCGCCTGTTGGGCGGGGGCGTCAATCGGGCTATATTGCGCCAGCTCACAAGTAAACATATCGGGCGATAGCTCCCGCGCCTGTCAGCCCCCTCCCTGGCCGCAGGCACCCTTCGCGCCCTCTGCGCATGGACGCGCTCGCCCACGCAGAACAGGAGGAGGGGGAGGGGTCAGAGGATACGGAGGAGAACGATGGTGGTGATGATGATGCTGATGATGATGATGATGATGATGATGATGATGATGATGATGATGACGATGATGATGATGATGATGATGACGATGATGATGATGATGATGATGATGATGATGATGATGATGATGATGATGATGATGGTAATGGTGATGGCGATGGTGATGGCGTCTGCTACCAGTCTGCGCCCCACCCCGGGTTGTTCGCTACAAGGTTGCGTCCTTATGTCAAGTCCATGGTGGCCCAGTCTGGGCTCCTCATGTTCGCCAGCCCTATGGATTCGAGGGCCGCTCTGATGATTGGCGCGAGCACGTTCAAAGCCTCACCGTTCCCGCACAAGGCACCCATGCGAGGCCGAGACACGTGTTTGGACCACCCCTCGAAGCGGTCAGCCTTGATGCCATTGAGACGCAAAAAGTCTGAAATGTCTAACGCCCGCTGCCGCTTGCTGCTGTAGTACCCCTGGCCCTCCTGGCACCGTGTCTTGGTCAGGGTCATGCACTTGCCCAAGCTCGAAGAGGGCTTCGTCGAGCCCAGGTCGTGGACAAACTCGTTTTCGAGGAACTCCTTGTGGCGGTTCTGCGATATCATCTTGTCCATAATACTGTTGAGGTTCTTGGTGTTCGTCGGAGTCATAGGCCTTGTCGGTGGGTCACCGGGCAACCGTGGGAGGTCAAGGATGTCTGTCAGGCTGCGCATTGCTGGACTGGTCGATGGCCACGCGAAGTCTCGAACTTTGTGGACAAGCCGCGTGCCGACCACGTACACGCGGGCCCTGGATTGCGGCATGCCGTAGTCCATTGAGTTTAGAATTTTGAATTCCACGTCGTATGCAACCGACGTGCCCTCTTTAATCTCCTGGAGCATTTTCATAAACAGCATGAAAGTCTCCCCGAAGTCCGGAAACCAAACTGGAAACATTCTCCAGCACAAACACAGACGGCAACCAACGCGCGATGCATTTGTAGATCGCAAAGAAGGTGTTGCCGTTGGGGTCGACTGCGCCTCCCTGGGCACCATTCTTGGAGAACGCATCGCAAGGAAACCCTGCGTGGTACAGGTGCACGTGGGACATTTCGTTGACGTCGCGGTGCTCCACGTCGCCCCACACAGTCTCCACATCCTTGTAGAATGCCTTGATGAAGGACCTGACCCACACCTCCCGGTCACTCGCAAAGACGTGGCGCATGGAGTGCACACCTGGCACGAGGAGACTCTCCATCGCCAGGATCTCAGAGCACATGCCACTGCAATCGCTGCCGACGCGAAGGGTGTGACCGTCCATGCGCGTCGTCGTCGGCTGCAGGTTCGGACCCTGAGGCACGACTGTCGTCGCCGCCAGGGCATGCGCAGCCTCGAGGGATGCTTGAGCCTTGGCTGCCGTCTTCCCTGCGGGGCGTTTCTTAACGGCTGTCCGGGCCGCCTTCATGGGCAGCGGCGTCTTTCTTGGCCTGAGAGCTCTCTTCCTGTCTACTGACTGTGCATCCAGAACTGCTTCGCTGCGGACATGGCTGCCCGCGGAAGAACCAACGGCGCGGGCTGCCGCGCCCGACGCGGGACCGGTCTCGATGTCTGACCAACTGTCGTCCATCACAGCTGAGCCAAAATAGCTACGGACAACCGCATCAGCGAATGAAGCAAATAATGAATAGAAACTGTCTGCGCCTGTCGTTGCGCCGTCAACTCAGTTCAACGGGCACGGCTCCAAGAAAACAACAACATTGCGGGGGGCCCGGGAAGGCCCTGGAGGGCCCCAACAGAACCCATGAGAACCCAAGAGAGGCTCCAGATGACCCCACTGGGCTCCATGAGTGGCCCAAGATGGGCTCCAAAAGGGCTGCAAAAAGTCCCAGGAAGGCTCCAAGAGGGCCCCGAAAGCAGTGACCAATGGGGGTCGTTTGGGGTCCAGGAGAATCCCTGGGGCTCCACCAAGAGAAATGAAAGCATGTCACGCGGGCGCTCTCTCGCGTCCTCCGCCCCCCCTCCCTCTCCCTCCCCCCTCCCTCCTCCTCCTCCTCCTCCTCCTCCTCCTCCTCCTCCTCCTCCTCCTCCTCCTCCACCCCCCTCCCCCCACCGCCTTCTCCCCCTTGCCCCTCCTTTCGTGCACGGCCCAAGAAAGCCCGACGACAGCCCCAGAGTGCCCCCCAAGACGGCCCCACGACGGCCGCAAGAGGGCCCAAGATGGCTCCAAGACGCCATCAACAGAGCGCCAGAACAGGCCCAAGACGGCCCGAGACGGACCCAAGACAACCCCAAGACCCGCGACGGTCCCACGACGGCGCTGGATCGGTCAAGATGGCTTTCCCGATGGCGCAAGATAACCTCGAACTATTCTAAGCCGCTCGAGGCGCAAAGTTCTTATGCCCCAGCGCCTTACTTTGCTTTGGGGCATAAGAACTGATATGGCTGCTGATGTTCCCTCCGTCGCCATCCCCTTTCCGTCGTCGTCGGTCGTCGTCGTCGTCGTCGGTCGTCGGTCGTCGTCGTCGTCGTCGTCGCCGTCGTCGGGCGTCGTCGCCAATTAATTTCTCGCCCGCGGGTCGGCCAAAAAATGGCTGGTATTTCAAGGCACCTCTTGGGGGCGAAAAGGTGGCTTGAAATACATGGGTGTTTTTTCCAAAAGGGCTGTGAAAGCGAAAGCAAGAAGCGAATTTGGAATATGTCGGCCGTCGCGGGCCCCAAACAGCAAGTTGCTGCACCATGGAGGTGCAACCTATGTGGTATATGCTATGTTGTTTAAGCTACGCGGTGGAATATATGTGGTATAGGATGTATTATGAAAGCTATGCGGTGTGAGTCGTCGTCGCCGTCGTCGTCGGTCGTCGTCGTCTTCGTCGCCGTCGCCGTCGTCGCCCATTACGGAACGGCCAAAAAATAGCTGGCATTTCAAGCTGCCTTCTGGGGGCGAAAAGGTGGCTTGAAATGTAAAGTTCTTAGCCGTTGTAGCGCACGGCGGGACGCCAATCTTCCAAAGAACAAGTTGGTCGGAGTTGCATCTGGTCGGAGTTGCATCTGGTCTGACTAGTCTGGTTGGTCTGGCTGGTCTGGCTGGTCCAGTTTGAGCTTGGTGCTGAGGCTGTCGCTTAGGTTTCAGGCGAGAGTGGTTTAGGGGAGGTCCGGGGAGGCAGCGACAACCACTACCACCGAAAAGCAGTGTTTTTTGCATTGCAGTTTTTTTTGCATTGCAGTTTTTTGTTGCATCTGGTCTGGCTGGTCTGGTTGGTCTGGTTTGAGCCTGGTGCTGAGGCTTTAGCTTAGGATTCAGGTGAGAGTGGTTTAGGGGAGGTCCGGGGAGGCAGCGACAACCACTACCACGACCGAAAAGCTGTTTTTGTTGCATTGCAGTTTTTGTTGCACTGCAGTTTTTGTTTGCATTGCAGATTTTTTTGCATTGCAGTTTTTGTTGCATTGCAGTTTTTTGTGCATCTGGTCTGGCTGGTCTGGCTGGTCTGGTTTGAGCCCAGTGCTGAAGTTTTTTTTTCATTGCAGTTTTTTTGCATTGCAGCTTCTTTTGCATTGCAGTTGTTTTTGCATTGCAGTTTTTTGCATCTGGTCTGGCTGGTCTGGCTGGTCTGGTTTGAGCCAAGTGCTGAAGTTTTTTTTGCATTGCAGTTTTTTTGCATTGCAGTTTTTTTTTGCTGGTCTGGTTGGTCCAGTTTGAGCTTGATGCTGAGGCTTTAGCTTAGGATTCAGGCGAGAGTGGTTTAGGGGAGCTCCGAGGAAGCAGCGACAACCACTACCACGACCGAAAAGGAGTTCCTTTTGCATTGCAGTTGTTTTTTTTGCATTGCAGTTTGTTTGCATTGCAGTTTTTTTTGCATCTGGTCTGGCTGGTCTGGCTGGTCTGGTTGGTGTGGTTTGAGCCTGGTGCTGAGGCTTTAGCCGTCGTCGTCGTCGTCGCCGTCGTCGTCGTCGTGCCGTCGCCGTCGCCGTCGCCGTCGCCGTCGCTGGTCTCGATGCGGGTTCTTTTGGCTGGTTTTGCCGGGGTCCCCCGGGGCAGCGGGCACCCAGGCAGACTTGGGGGGAGCTCTGTGGATTCTGAGATTCGGATCTCTTTTGGCTGGTTTTGCCGGGGTCCCTTGGCAGCCGCCGTCGTCCTCGTCGTCGTCGTCGCCGTTGCCGTCGCCGCCGTCGTCGTCGTCGTCGTCGTCGTTGCCGTTGCCGTCGTCGTCGTCGTCGTCGTCGTCGTCGTCGTCGTCGTCGTCGTCGTCGTTGTCGCCGTCGCCGTCGCCGTCGCCGTCGCCGTCGCCGTCGCCGTCGCCGTCGCCGTCGCTGATCTCGATGCGGGTCCTTTTGGCTGGTTTTGCCGGGGTCCCCCGGGGCAGCGGGCACCCAGGCAGACTTGGGGGGAGCTCTGTGGATTCTGAGCTTCGGATCTCTTTTGGCTGGTTTTGCCGGGGTCCTCTGGCAGCCGCCGTCGTCCTCGTCGTCGTCGTCGTTGCCGTTGCCGTCGGGCTCTCAACTATAAACTGGGACTGGGTGGGTGGGTGCGTCAGCACTGATAAAGTTCTTAGCCGTGTAGCGCACGGCGGGACGCCAAGCTTTCAAAAAACAAGTTGCTCGGAGCTGCATTTGGTCGGAGTTGCATCTGGTCTGGCTGGTCTGGCTGGTTTGGCTGGTCTGGCTGGTCTGGTTGGAGCCCACTGCTGAAGCTTTAGCTTAGGATCTGGGCGAGAGTGGTTTAGGGGAGGTCCAGGGAAGCAGCGCCGGGGACGACCACCGAAAAACAGTTTTTTTGAATTGCCGTTTTTCTTGCATTGCAGTTTGTTTTGCATTGCAGTCTGGCTGGTCTGGCTGGTCTGGTTTGAGCCCAGTGCTGAAGCTTTATCCTAGGATCTGGGCGAGAGTGGTTTAGGGGAGGTCCAGGGAGGCAGCGCCGGGGACGACCACCGAAAAACGGCTTTTTTGCATTGCAGTTTTTTGTTGCATTGCAGTTTGTTTTGCATTGCAGTCTGGCTGGTCTGGCTGGTCTGGTTTGAGCCCAGTGCTGAAGCTTTAGCTTAGGATCTGGGCGAGAGTGGTTTAGGGGAGATCCAGGGAGGCAGCGCCGGGGACAACCACCCATGTATTTCAAGCCACCTTTTCGCCCCCAAAAAGTAGCTTGAAATACCAGCTATTTTTTCGGCCGTTCCGTAATGGGCGACGACGACGACGGCGACGACGACGATGATGATCGACGACGACGGCGACGACGACTCACACCGCATAGCTTGCATAATACATCCTATACCACATATATTCCACCGCGTAGCTCAAACAACATAGCATATACCACATAGGTTGCACCTCCATGGTGCAGCAACTTGCTGTTTGGGGCCCGCGACGGCCGACATATTCCAAATTCGTTTCTTGCTTTCGCTTTCACACCCCTTTTGGAAAAAAACACCCATGTATTTCAAGCCACCTTTTCGCCCCCAAAAGGTGCCTTGAAATACCAGCCATTTTTTGGCCGATCCGCGGGCGAGAAATTAATTGGCGACGACGCCCGACGACGGCGACGACGACGACGACGACGACGACCGACGACGACGACGACGACCGACGACGACGGAAAGGGGATGGCGACGGAGGGAACATCAGCAGCCATATCAGTTCTTATGCCCCAAAGCAAAGTAAGGCGCTGGGGCATAAGAACTTCGCGCCTCGAGCGGCTTAGAACATGGGTGGTCGTCCCCGGCGCTGCCTCCCTGGATCTCCCCTAAACCACTCTCGCCCAGATCCTAAGCTAAAGCTTCAGCACTGGGCTCAAACCAGACCAGCCAGACCAGCCAGACTGCAATGCAAAAAAACTGCAAT